ATGATCCCAGGGTCCTGGGATCGAGCCCCGCATCAGGCTCTCTGCTCCGAGGGGAGCCTGCTTCCTCCTCTCTCTCCCTGCCTGCCTCTCTGCCTGCTTGTGATCTCTGTCAAATAATAATAAAAAAAAAATCTTAAAAAAACAAACAAACCCTGGACACAGAGATTTATAGCAGCTTTGTTCATGATTGGCAGAACCTGGAAAAGCAACCAAGATGTCTTTCATTAGGTGAATGGCTACACCATGGTGCATCCAGACAACAGGGTATTATTCAGAGCTACAAAGAAATGAGCTGTCGAGCCGTGAAGACATGGAGGAAATGCGTTTGCATGTTGTTAAGCAGAAGTAGCCAGTCTGAAAGGCTACAGGCTGTCTGACTCCAACTAGATGACATTCTGGAAAAGGCAAAACTATGGAGACAGCAAAAAGGTCTGTGGTTGCCAGGAGCTGGAGGGGGAAGGGAGGGATGGACAAAGACGGAGTATGGAAGATATTTTGGGCAGTGGAACTACTCTATATGACACGTAACTGTGGCTACATATATTTTACATTTGTCCAAAACCGAAGAATGTACAATGTCAAGACTGAACCCTAACGTAAACTATACTTCGAGTGATGACAAAATCAATACAGGGTCATAGATTATTATGACTATACTACTCTGGTGGGGGATGGTGACAGTGGGGAGACGGTGCTTGTCTGGAGCCAGAGGGTATATGGGAAGTCTCTGTACTTTCTGCTCAATTTTGGTGTGAACTTGAAACTGCTCAAAAAGATAGTCTATTGGGAAAAAAAAAAAAAAAAAAGACTTTCAGGCTTAAAACTTGTCTGACCTGTTTAGCCTTTAGAGAAAAACATCTTAGATATGTAAGTGATTCATGACCGGAGTGATCTTCCTTTGGTAAAATATGGTTCCATCAAGACTGATGAACAACCTAAATTCGTTGTGCTGGTGAATTAATTGAGTGGTGAATGTCTAGCAACACGTTCTCCTATCAGAGCAGTTAACAGCGAGGGCTAACAGATCAGAATTAAGTTCAGACATAGCTGTGGGACTTAACACCTGATTGCTTGGGTCCGTAACTGCAAACTGTATGAACTGTCAACTGTCAACTTATTTATTTATTTAGTTAGCTAGCTAGTTAGTAAGTAGGCTCCACACCCAAGATGGAGCTTGAACTCACAACCCTGAGATGAAGTCTCATTGCTCTATTGACTGAGCCAGCCAGGAGCCCCATGAACTGTCAGTTTCTTATTTGCAAAATGCGGTTGTCATCTTAAAAAGTGATTGTCACCTAAAAAAGTCTGGGACATAGAGGTCCAAAAAATGTCAGCGGAAAAATAAAACCAGTTTTGTTTTCATGAAAAAACAACTTAATACATATGAATCTCAACTAAGTCCGAAATGTTAATATTGTGGTGGTACCAGTGTATGTAATGTTGAGATTCAAACTCCTCTTAAAAATTTTCTCTAATAAACATGGAACTGTCTATACTCAGGAAACAAACGTTTAAAAAATCACAGCACAGGGGCGCCTGGGTAGCTCAGTGGGTTAAGCCTCTGCCTTCAGCTCAGTTCATGATCTCAGGGTCCTGGAAGCAAGCCCTGCATCGGGCTCTCTGCTCAGCAGGGAGCCTGCTTCCCCCCTCTCTCTCTGCCTGCCTCTCTGCCTGCTTGTGATCTCTGTCAAATAAATAAATAAAATCTTTAAAAAAAGAAAATCCCAGCACAAGGGATGCCTGGGCAGCCCATTCGATGAAGTGTCTGCCTTCACCTCAGGTCGTGATCCCAGGGTCCTGGGATGGAATCTTGCATCAGCCTTCTTGCTCAACAGGGAGCCTGCTTCTCCCTCTGCCTGCTACCCCCCACCGCCGTTTGTGCTATCTGACAAATAAATTTTAAAAACTTTTTAAAAAGTCATGGCACAAAAACTGTAGAAAAGAATATTTTATTGAAACAGTTTCTCAATTAACAATGGACCAAAGTACAATTTGACTCAAACCTGTCCAACCAGCCTCAACTGCTAGTGAAAGAACTCAAACATACAGGACGGGGTGGGACCCTGCGGTCTTATTTCTGCCAATGTGGCAAAAAAAAAAAAAAAAAAAAGAAAAAAAAAAAAGGACAGAAGACAGACACAACCAGATTCCCCCTTACCCTGGGAGCTGGGTGGCAGCTGTGGCTCCTGCTCCATTCGGGATACGGAGGGTAGGCTCCCCAACATGGGCACGGTGGGTCAAGAGCCCCCATCTCAGCAGAGCAACTCAAGAAAGGCAGGCCAGCCCCTACCCCCTTCCGTCCCCCACAAGGCCTGTCACGAAAAGGGCGAGGTGGCCTTTTTACATTCACACCACGGCCTCTCCTTTTCCCAGGGTCTTGGGATAGGGGCTCACAGTAGAAAGCACATTTTGGTCAGCCCAGGGGGCTAGGGGGCCAGGGAAAGGCTATGTCTGGGTGGGCAAAAGAGGAGAGAGCAGGGGGCCAAGAGTCATAGGGACATGGAGGGACAGGCTACTGGGCCAAGGCAGACTCCCGACAGTGCTCGCAGGAGGCGGGCATCCCACGCAGGCCGATCTGCACTCTCCTGTGCCCGAGAGCCTGCAAGTGGGAGCTCTGGTTTTTCACACATGTCCCCACAGAGGTGGCTGGATTCCCTCCTTCGCTTTCTCCCTGCCTACTCTGGCCACCGGAGGGGGGACTGCTGGGGGGGGGCGGTGCACAAGCAGGTGGGGATTAATCAAGCTTTGCTGCAGCCTGCCCGGATGGAAGGGCTTGGGCAGGAGGCAGACGGCTGCCTAACTTGCCACAGGAAGGCAAGGAAACCATGGGAAGAGGAGTCACTGGGGATGAGGCCTTTTAGGGAAAGACAAGACCGTGGAGAAGAAAAGAGCAGAGATAGGCACTCAGAAACCAGACCTGGTAACCAAGGCTCTGTAGACACTGGCCCCTGTAGGGCGGACTTCGTGGTGGAAGAGGGAGCGGGAAGGACAGAGAAGACTGGAGACTCTCTAATATCCCAGGGCATCCCTCCCCCTGCCAGTTCCGTTGACCCCTCACGGTCAATCTCTCACCTACCCACAGGCAAAGAATTAAGACATAATAGTGATTTTCCCCAAATTAGGGCCTGGATGGGTAGGGAACCAGGGGTGGGATTAGGAAATCGAGCAATTTCAGTTTTTACCACAGAACCACTGTAGAAGGAACTGGTGAGCTGTCCCTTCCGTCCCCTTCTCCACACCTCTGATCAAGGTGAGAGAAAAGGAACTGAAGCCTGTGAGGGCAGGAGCAACCCCTCCCCCGACCCTCGATGTTTAATAAATAGAGGAGGTAGGAGAAGGGGGCGGGATGAATGGGAACCGGGGGTTATAGTTCATCATTTTTCAAAGTTGGCTTCTGTCCTGTTGGCTGTTCCTTCTGTTCCGGTTCCGCTGGGAGTGGGGAAGAGCAAAGGGATGCCAGCAGGTGAAACCGAGGTGACCTGGCCCCATTCTGTGCATATCCCCCCCCCACCACCCCAGGACCTCCCAACCAGGCTTCCCAGGTGGCCCCAGTTCCACGCTCACCTGCTCCAGGACCTCCCAGCTCCAGAGGCTGAGCATCTGCCGGTTCAGATCCTGCTTTGGGGAAGGAAGAGGTTAGCCTCTGCAGAAGGGAGGAAGGGGCTAATGGAGGGGTTAGGAAACTTTTTCTGTAAACAGCCAGACAATAAATGTTTTAGGAGCTGTGGGCCACAGCAATTTTGTGTGTGTGTGTGTGTGTGTGTGTGTGTGTGTCTAATAACCTAAAAATGTAATGGTCTTTCACAGCTTGTGGACCTTCCAGAAACCAGCTGTGCCTGCCAGTGTGCCAACCCTTAGGTTAAGCAACAGCCATATTCCCAATCACTTTCCCCAACTCACGAGTCTCTTTCTCAGGTTCTGAAATGGGCTGTGCGTCTTCAGTCTGGCCTGGAAGGAAACCAGGGGTAAAATGTAGTCCCAGGAAGGAGAGGCTTTCTTCCCGCCCAGTAGCACCCACAGTGGGCACCCTGCCCTCACCTGGTGGAGGGATGACCTTTTCCGCTTGGTCACTGGCATTGAGGGGAGGCTCTGCCCGGGTCCCGTTCTTGTCCTTGGGTCGGGGCCGGGGCTTGGTAAACTTGGCCTTATTGAGCAGATACTGCACCTCACGGTCCAGGGCCATCATCTTGGCCTCAATGTCTTTTGAGAGCAATACAGGCTTCTCTGTGGCGGGAAGTTTGGCCTGCTCGGCCATGGTCGCATTCTTCCAGGCCTGTGGGTGAGGACAGGACAAGCTGAGAGCTAGCCCTGGAGCCTGCAGGCATCTGCCCCAGACGAAATACACCCCAACCAGCCTCAGACTCTGCCCTCAGATCACAAACCATTCCACTCTACCTGGCTGTCAGCCCCACAAGGGGAGGCAGGCTCCTCAAAATAGCATCCAAGGCTTTCCACAAAGGAGTCCCAAACTACACGCTTGGAACCGACTACAGCCGAACCTCTCGATTATTCCCTTGTCTCTGCGCTTCTAGAGCTCTGATTCAAAGACGTTCCCCACATATCCAAAAGGGAAGCTTCTGCTTCCTGTGACCAATCCTCCTCACCTCCCCAAACCCAGGCCCACTTGCTGAGTGCAGCTCAAGCCCCAGCTCCTCGGAGCTCTAACGTCATGGGAATGGGCTCTGCTGCTACTCCAGTCTGCCAACTCGGGCATGGCCATGACCTTGTTTGGGGCTAATCTGTCATGGCCCCTTCGCAATCAGCTGCGAGGCCAGGAGGCGCTGGCTGCTCAGTCTCCATCACTCGGCATCTCCCATGCTGCCTCGCTCGGACACCTTGCCAGGGCGAGGATCCCCGTGAGAATTTACACCCGGATTACCCAGGTCTCGTTGATAACTTTCTCCAACGTTGTCATCTCCACCTCAGTGAAGATCTGCTCCATCTCTGGGATGAGCCGGGCACCCCTGGAAGCCAGAAAGGAGATGGTGAGCCCAAGAGGAAGAGGGGTCAGGGGTGTGCACGCGGGGCATGGGAAGCTGAAGGACACTGAGGCTCAGCAGGACTGAATTAGGAAGAAAAGCAAAGGGGCTGCTCACTTGAGGAACATGCTGGAATGGTTGAGGAGATTATCAAGGGCAGACAACCGTTCAGGCCACTTCTTGCGCTCTTCCACCCGAAAAAACAACCCATGGCATAGCTTCCTCAGTTCAGTCAGCTTCTCCTTGAGCATCTGAGGGATGCGGGGCGGGAGTGGGCAGAGGCGTTGAAGGGAGGAGAGGCCAGCCCTGCAGCCAGCCCTGCATCCCAATCACAGCTTCGCACCCCAGCTCTCCTCACCTTCTCTGACCCTGGAGAGGAAAACGAGGGCTCGCATCCCACCCACCATGTCCTGGGAGGCCACTTACCATGGTGGTGGCCCCAAAGCCCTCGTCCTCCAGCCAGGTGGAGGCCGCGCTGAGCCTCCCAGAGATCTCCTCACGCTGCTCCTCAGTGGACACTTCCTGGTACTCAGGCTGGTACAGTTTGTCCTAGGGAGGAGCACACAGGCCCAAGCATGCACCGAGCCCCTGAGGGCAAGGCTCACAGAGCCAGACCCTCCTCAGACACTGGGCCCAGGGCAGGCGTGCCTCCTAGCCTACCAACCTGGGTCTCAAAGATAAAAGCTTCCAAGCTGTTGGCAGCTTTTTCCCGTTCCTGCTTCTCTAGGTCTCGGAGTGTCAAGTCTTGGAGTCTGTGGGACAAAAGAATCAAGTATGAAGGAGAGAGCATGTTGAACTCGGACCCTGGGTCAGACAGTTCTTCCCAGGGGAGGGATTCCATACCCTGCCCACACTACACACACCCTACACACACACACACACACACACACACACACACACACACACAGAATTTCTACTCACTTTTTCGCTGAGCGGGCCAGCTCTTCCTCAGGTAAGTCAGGCAGGTCCAGGACCACCAGCTCCACCCCAATCTCCTCTACCATTCTCTGCTTCCGGGCAGGCTTCTGCTTCTTTTCTTCCTCTGGGGCTGGAGGAACGCTCTCAGACCCTGTTTCCTTTTTCTCACTTGGCTTCTAGTGGGGAAAGAGCGGAGCATATCAGGAAAAGCTTAGGCCCTTCTATTCTCCACAGGCAGGGCTCTGGGGACGAGCAACAAGGCAGGCATCTATTCCCTTAGCCCCTGGGGCCACCCTGGCCTTATTCGGCGCCTGCAGCTCACCTGGGCCTCAGACTTTTCTTCATTTTCTTTTTCTGCAGCCTTTTCTTCGTCAGGGGCTGCATCCTCCTTGGGCTCAGCGGGTGGGGGCGGAGAAGTGTCCTCCGCGGGAGCCTCAGCCTCCTCCTTGAGCTCTGCCTGCTCCCCAGGCTCATCCTTGCTCCCCTCAGCAGGGCTTTCCTCCTCCTCCTGGGAAACAATCACAGATGCGCCCCCCCCCCCCCAAGGAAACTGTCACTGTAGCAGAGCCTAAGGCCCAGCCATGCCACATCCCCCAGGCTTACGGCTGCCAGCACAGCGTGGGGGGCAGACAGACGACTGGATGGCAACGGTGGCCTAGTCGGACAAAGGACAAGGGCTTGGAGAGGAGGGGAATGTGCCCTGGATTCCGAGCACACGGGCCGCCTGGAGTCCAGAGGATGGTATGGTTCACTGGGCTGGGGAAGGGGTAGTCTAGCCAGTCCCAGGCAGCAGGAAAGCCCACCCCAATCCCTGCCTCCGCTGCCACTCCTCGGGCACATGCTCCCTCCCCCGAGCTCCCCTGGCTCCATGCTGGCCTCACCTGGACCGCGTCTGTACCGTTCTCTTTAGTGTCTGCCGTTGTGCCCCCTCCGAACAGGCTAGAGATGGTGTTGCCGAGTTCTGTGAGGAAGAAAGCCCCAAAACTCAAAAGGGCCACAGCAGTGACGCCACCTCACCCAAGGGCAAGGCCTGCCCTCCCCCAACGCATACAAGCACCGCCTCCCTCACACACACGCGCACACACGCACACACTCATCTTACTGGTCAGGGTGGATTCCTCCTCAGGGCTGTCCTCCACCAGGGTCTCAAACACAGACTCCACCTGAAAACAGGGTGAAGAAACACACACGCTAAGCCACCTTTCCCCCAGAAATATCCTGTCACTGTGGGCGTCTACTTACGCGCATCTGGGTGACTTACGGTGCTGGCCTAGTCCCTCACCAGCCTCCTTCTACCGGCTCCTGAGCCAAGTCACCTCTGCCCCCTTTGATTATGGGCCCTCTGAAGACAGACTCCTAGCTCCTTTCCCCTGAGCCCTGCACTTCTCTACTCGACTAAAGAATGGACCATTATTTCCCACAGTGTGTTTTAAAAGATATTAACCCCAGACCTACTCTTTGAGAATGACTTACTTAGCCATCTATAGGTCCTGAACTTTACAACACTCATAAGCACTCATAGACCCTGAAAACACCACAGCAGATCCCTGATTAGCTGTGTTTAGAGGCAAGACTTTTCCATTTCCCAAACTCTTCTTGTTTCTTATGTTCTCATACCATGTGGAGGAACCACTCTGGGAAGGCTGGTGGGACCTGGGCCCTTGGCCTGTACCCAGGGCCTCCTTCTGCTCTCACCCTGATGAGGCTGAGCACGCCGCTCTCATCCAGGTTGAAGTGAGCCTTGATGCCCTTGGACTCGTGGTCGGGATACTTCTTGAAGCTCTCACCCACACCTTTTAGCTTCACCGTGGTCAAATTTTGGGAGCCGAAGACCCTGGTTGGGGGACGAGAGAGCCATTCCAGGGAGCTCACCCAGCCTGCCTCCTCCAGCTCTAGATTATGTAGCTTCCCAGCATGAAATATCTCCCCTTTCCTCCCAGAAGATGCTCACCCCAACCCTGACCGCACAGCCTGCTGCCCGCGTCAGCCCTGTGGCCCCAGATCCTCCCTCCCATCCTGACCACCTCCCTCACCGAAGATCCTCGGACCCCAGGAAGCCCAGGTCGCCATAGTTGATGTGAAAGTTGAAGTCGTGGTTGTAGCGGTTAAAGGTGATGACTTTGCGTTGAGGGTAGGGCCCCATTCGGGAGAAGAGAACACGCTTATTGTGCTTCAGGCTGCGAACCCCAGGCTCCTCCTCCACCTCCCTCGTGAACTCCACCTACACAGCAGGCAGAGAGGAGGCACACTGGAGAGCGGGAGCACGTCGGGGGTAAGGGTACGTGGAGAATGTCAGCAGGCAGAGAAACAAGGGGACAGGCTAGAGCAGACAGAGGGAGCATGCTCAGTGAGATAAAGGGAGCTTGTCACCCGATCAGACGGGCCCACTCACCAGGATGGGGTAGAGGACCGCATCTCGGACTACAAATGGCTTCACCTTGAAGGCTTTGCTGAGCGCGGCTGCCTGGTACACGGCCCCCATGGCAGCTGCTTCGTCTGCGTTGATGTTCTTCCCTAATTCCTCCCTGTGGAAGTCCCGGGCTTCAGCGCATCATCTCTGGAGCAGCTGCCCTGGCCGCCCTCTCCTCAGCCCTGCAGCCGCCCAGCCCTGGAGCCCCAGCCCCACTGCCTCAAACCCCACACTCACTTGCCCACAGCCTTCAGCAGCACCTCCTGAACTTTAGGGACCCGAGTGGCCCCGCCGACCAGGATCACCTGCTCAATCTCATCCTGCAGAGAAAGAATGGGACACACAACAGCTGGGTGTTAGCCCTCCTCCTCAGCGCTGACTTGTTCCTTAACACTCCTGCCCCCTCCTGCCCACCAACCTGTCACCCTCTCTCCCACCCGCCTCTCCACCCCAGGCCCATGCCTGACTCCCGCTCACCAAATTCATCTCGGCGCTCTGGAGGGCCTGCTGTACGGGCCCAGGTACTCGCTCAAATAAGTCTGCGCAGAGCTCTTCAAACTCCACTCGGGTCACTTTTGCTTTGAAGTCCACATCATCCATCAGGCCCTCTATCTGGGGGAGGATGAGGCATGTCAGAGTTCCCACCCAGGTCCTCCTCTGGCTGGGCAGGCCAGAAACCGAGGGACTGGGACTTTGAGGGGACGGCAGGAGGCCAAGGAAGAAGGGATGGGCCACACCACACGCCAGCGGCCTAGCTCGGGAGGCTGGGGTCCTCTCCCCTCCGGCGGGGAATATTTTCCCTCAAGTAGCCACGCGCAGGCACCTGTGCCATGTGATCAGCGTTGGCACTCAGGACGGTTTTGAGTCGATTCGCCTCCCGCAGCAGCTTGGCCATCGCACGGGGGTTCTCCCGCACGTCCTTTGCTCTCTGGCCCTTGCGCTGTTCATTGAAAAGCTTAGCCAGGTGCTCACGCAGCCGGAGCTCCATCTCCAGGCCCCCCAGGGTACGGTCAAATCTGTTCAGGAAACAGTGAGAGAGAAAAGTGTGAGGAACACACAGGGTCCCTGACTCTTGTTCCACGTACGTGGCTGACACCTCAGTGACAGTTTGCCTCCTCCTCCAGTCCGCTATATTTACTGGATGTCAAGTATGTGCTGGTCTCAGGGCACGCGACTGAGAGAAAAAAGCCAGGGTCCCTGAGGCCAAGGGGTTTACAATCTAGCACTGAACAAACACACGAATGTGAAGCATGTACCACCCCATGAGTTATGAGGGACAGACAAGCAACAGTGTCAGAAGACGGAAAAGGGAAGTGTTGCCTACTTGATGTCAGGAAGGTTCTGTGGAGATGTGATAATTGAGCTGCAATCTGAAGGATGAGTGGAGGTTAACGAGGTGAAAAAAAGGGAAAACTGGAGAGATGGGGAACAGTACCCAAAAGGGCGCACGGTGGGAGCCAGCCCAGTACGTTCCCAAGAAGAGCAGGCGCGGCTGGTGCTCAAAGAGCAAGGGTCTCTGGGTAGAGACAAGTGGGAGGAGCCAGGGCTCCCACAGGCTAATGTAAAAGGTATGAGGGTTTTTTTTTTTTTAAAGAAACAGATTATAATTAGGTCAGCATTTTGAAAAGAACCCTCTGGCTGCAATGTGGAGAAAAAACTGGAAGAAGGCCGCACTGGAGACAAGGAGACCTTTCCTAACCCTGCAGGTCAGAGATGATGGTAGCCTGGACTCAAGCACTGGCAGGAGAGCTGGCCAGAAAGGAATGGGTTTGAAAGAGAAAAGACAACGTTGTCAACAAGTACGCCAGAAAAGACAAGAACAGCGAAACGACTGCATGTGGTCTATGGGTTTCCTTAGAAGCCGCTCAGGAAGGTCCCTTCCTTTCAAAATTCCCAAACCGTCCCCCTCCCGCCCCGTCTTCCCCTGGTTCTTCCAAGAGGTACCCCGTGAAGGTCGATACTTCAGGAGAGAATTCGTGCAGGAAAATGAGGCGGCTGCCACTCCGAGAAGCCCCGACCCGAGGGTGTCTCAGTGAGCCCAGCACCGACTTACCCCACACCCCGGACCTGCAGCTGCGGCTGCATCCCCGCCTCCTTGGTCTTCACTGTCTGGTAGGTCACGATGGTGCACACAGTGCTGCCAGAGCCCATGTCGTAGAACATGACATTCTGCAGACACCAAGACAACGGTCACAGGAACCTCACCTAACTCCAGCCGCTACACCCACTCTCCGCTTGAGGCTGAAAAGCTCCGATAGCGTCCGAGAGGGCCATTCTCTTGCTGCATCCTGGCAAGGGCCAGCCATGCACACGAGATGCCAAACACGCTGAGTGGCCTCCATCCTCAGAACCAGCCACCCGCTGGCCGGAAGTTCCTCCCTGGCTCACCTGGGCAGTGGTGTTGATATCTTTCCGGCGGAAGACCCCATAGCTGAGGGCCGTGGCGGTGTTGTCATTGATGAGCTGGAGCACTTTGAGGCCGGCCATGCGTGCGGCCTGCAGCACGGCCCGGCGCTCAGCCTGATTGAAGAAGGCCGGCACCGTGATCACCGCGTCTTTGATGGGCTGCTCTACAGAGGACAACAGAACGGGGCTCCCACCAGCTCCATGCCTTGGATGACACTTTCCTAGTGTTGGCGTTATTGGCATTTTGGGCCAAATAACTCTCTGCTCTGTGCGACTGTCCTGCGCACTGTAGGATGTTTGGCAGCGTCCCCGGCCCAGCAGATGCCAGGAGCAGCTCCCCAGATGACCAGAGCGAAGATATCTTCTAACACTGCTCAAGGTTCCCTGGGAGGCGAAGTGGCCCCGCTAGGAGACCCTAGGGAACCTGGTCACCACCGGCCCCACCTTAGCTACTCACCAGCAAAATCCTCAGCCAGGGAACGGGAGTAGTTGAGAACCATGCCAAGCACCTCTTCAGGCGAGAACTGTAGCTGCCTGGGGGAAAGTGGGTAGTTAGAGGCAAGGACAGCCAGACTTTAAGGCCAGGACAACTGTGAGCACTAGAGGAGCCCATCGGCCCTGATGAGCCTACCGTCCCCAGCAGAGCACTCACGGGCTGATCTGGAAGTACACGGTCTGTCTCTGTGGGTCAAAGCCTAGCTCATGCTCTGGAAAACGAGCTCTGTAAAGGGCCACGTGGGGGTTTCCCTCCTGCTTCCCCAGGAGGTGCTGGAAGTAACGCAGTGTCGCCTTTGGATTCTTGATGGCCTGAGAGGAGGTAAAAAAGGAATAGAGTATGAGGCTCCCGAGCCCACCATCACCTACCTCTCACATCAGAGGTCGATAAGGGCTCAGGCTCTGGCATCTGTCATCTCCTCCCCTCTGCCCACCACTCTGGGAAGGGGTGGGCTGCTAAGCTCACCATGCTTGCTGCACTGTCTCCAAAGAATCTTTCATTTTCTTTCAGGGTCACAGTCACTGGGGTTTTCCTCCTGGATTCCCTGAAGAGAGGAGACGCAGGGCCCAGGTGCCTATAGCAGGGTGTGGACTCAAGAGCCCCAACACCCCAAATACAACCACTCAGACACTAGACTGTTGGGGGCCCTAGGAAGCATACACACTGGCTTGGAGCACAGACTCCCCTCTTTCCCCACCCCGGACACTGGGATGGCCCTCACTTGTTCAAGACAATTTCCATGGGCACTCCGGGTTTGACGATGGCCACCTTCATTGACTCGCTGCCCAGGTCTACAGACATCACAGCCAGTGTGTCTGCAAAGGAAACAGATTTGTCAATTCGCCCCTCTTCCCCCACATTCTTGAGTCCCCTCTAACCAAAGGACACCTCTCTCCACAGAAAAGGTAAAAAAGTGAAAAGATAAAGGACTGAATTCAACAACTCCAGTCCAGAGGCTTCCAACCAGAAGCTCCCCTCCCACCATGGATCATTCATCATTCACTCATTTATTCTTCTTCTGAGCCTGCTCCTGGGGTACACACCACTCAGTGCCAACAGGTCGGCCAAGAGCACAGCCATCACAGCCCAACAGGCTAGCCTCCGCGGCCTCTGCCTCCTGATGGTGGCTGCCATTGTGCCTCTGAGGGAGGAGAAAAACAACACTTGTAACCGGATGCCCTGTGTGAAGAAGACAGAACCTCATCCCAGAACAGAGAAGCTTTAAGATTCATACTCCACGGTCTCCAAGGGGCTGAGTAGCCTACATCCCCCTCCTCTCCCTTCTGATAATGACCCGGGACTCTAACCACACAAAGGGTCCTGGGCTCCATCCAGTACATCCCTAAACAAGGAAGGTACCAGGACGGAAGAAAGGAGACCAGAACCTTCCGTCCACTGCATAGGCTATAACCGGCGCACCCTAGCCCTGCCCCTGCTGTCAGACACCTGGGGGGAGACCCGGGATCTCCGCCCAGGGCTCAACTACCTCCCTACACCTGGAGCTCCCCCGCTGGCTGGGGAAAGCCAGGCAGGGCTTGGACGGGAACTGAGAGGTGGTGACGTTGGAGGAGGCTGGGATGTTAGAATGGCCTGTCTCCTTCTCGGTATCCCTTTGGGGTGTCCCGCCCCGCCCCCCGTTCTCCATCCCAACCCCCGGCCCCGCTGCCTACACAGACGCCGTGCCAGGAGCGCTAAGATTCTTCGCCGGGCGGGCACCGAGTCCCCCGAGTTCACCTAAGCCTCACCTGGCGAAGGCGGCGGCTCCCACTCCCGGAAACGCCGCCCGGCCCACCTCTAAGACGTGGGGGCGCCCCAAGGACCGAGCTTCGGGGCCAAGCGCACCGGCGTCCGTGCGGCCCTCGCTCCCGCTACCGACCCGCCCCCGGAGCTAGCACGTTGCCTCCTCCCGGAGGGGTGGCCCGCTCCCATCGCCATCCCCACCCCAACCCCCACCGCTTGCCTGCGCTCCTGCGGCCCCAGCTCTGGGACAAACGCGGCGGCGGACGTACCCACGAGGCCGGCAGCGCGCCCCCAAACCCGCGCCCTTCACAACTCCCCTCGGTTTGCAAACTGTTACATTAGCCACCAATCTCTCGGCGGCGTCTCGCGCACCAGCCGGCCCCGGACGCGGCGCGCGCTCATTGGAGCCTCCGCCGCCCGGCCCTGCGCCGCGCGCCCGGCCCCGCCCCCACCGCCCCGGCGCGCGCTCCCATTGGGCCACGTCCTACGCCCGCCCCCTCCTCCGTCGCCGGCTCGGGCCTCGGAGGCCGCCGAGGGGCCAGTCCGCCAGTTGGGGGAAAAACCGCCGACGCCGGCTGGGGATTGGACCACGTCACGGGGCCCGGCGCCCGCCCCCGTGCGCTCCCGGACCTTTCCGGCCTCGGCGCTGGGCACCCGACTGCCGGGGTCGGGAATGACCCGAGGCTGGTGCGAGTGGGCGCACGGACAGTCCCGCAGTCGGCCCCCTTCCTCCGGTCACCTGGGGAGCCCCGGCCGAGGAGTGGGAGTGACCCGCATCCCCTATGTAGCCACGCGGAAGAGGCGCTCGCTTGCTGGTTGGTATTGAACTGCTCTAGGCTTTGGATAGAAATCAGAATGGCTGCGCTACAGGCCTAGTTCACCCCGCCCCGTTTCACTGATGACACTGAAGCCACCAGAAGAGATGATGTTCGCTAGCGGGACGGAGATGATGCTTGTTATCAGTGGCAGACTTTGGCCTGGACTCCTTACTCTAAGCTCCATTTTTATGAAACGGAATATTCCGGAATGCAAAGCGCTGAGGCCGTAATTGGGCGTAAAGGCACCACCTCATGTTTTCATTCCATTAAATCTTATGTGGCTTCCCTTCTCTTTTCCTGCTTCTGTCCGAATTAAAGTACCTCAGACAGGTATTTGGCGCTTTTCCCTCCCTCTGTATTTTTACAGCCCCATGGAAGTGTGCACAGTCCTTGGAAAGCGCCCCGCCCCCCGTTTTATTGACATGAGCCCAAATTTCTTAAATGTGGAAAATGGATCTCCTGTTTCCTCCCTCTCCCGAAATCGACTCCAGGGCTCCCTTCACAGAAGTCTCCTTAAAGGCCCTGGCCGTAACTTCCATGGCTTGTTTAAGGAACTCTTACCTGTTCTTTCCCTACATTTTTCATGATTCTAAGGGGGACAGAGGAGTCAGGGTTCTATGCTTAGAAGATAAACCAACTGGCAGTACCAGGGAGAAGTCGATTTTTTATAAATTTGTGGGTTGTTTAGTCTTCATATGGAGACCTTGGTAGAAACAAGGAGGAATAAATCCCTTTTATACCATCCTCAACCTCATCTCTGGAGCTATCTGCTGTTATCAGTGTGGTGTGTAACGTTCCAGGCCTCTTCTGTGCATTTACTTCCATAGGTATCTTGAAAGATGTGGCTTTTGCGTTTTTGTAAATGATAGAATGTTATAGAATTAGATTGTTTGCAACCTGCCTTTTTCTTCTTTTTTTGTAACTAAGAACAAATCGTGAGGATTTTCCATATCTGTGTGTAAAGATTCACCTCATGGTTTACTGCTGTAGAACATTCCACAGCATGGGGTTGGTTAGCCACAGTGATGGGACACATACGTTGTCATTTCAGTCCCACTAAGAAAGATTTTGTATCTGTATGACTGACTCTACTTTTGGATGGCTATGCAGGACAGTAGATGCTTTCCATCCATTTCTTTCTTTTTTTAAATTTTTATTTATTTATTTATTTTAAAAGATTTTATTTACCTATTTGAGAGCGAGAGCACAAGCAGGATGAAGAGCAGAGGGAGCAGAGCCCGATGTGGGACTCAATACTGGGACTCCAGGATCATGACCTGAGCCGAAGGCAGACGCTTAACCAGCTAGCCACCCAGGTGCCCTTCTTTCCATCTGTTTTAAACAGATTTTGCATTTTTAAGATTTACTGGGCCTTTGTCGCATATAAGCACAGGACCCCGTATGGGATCCCACAGATGGGGATGACCGTGTCCTTGCTTTTGGAAGTCACAGTCTGTTGGGAAACAAATAGGTTTATGGTTTCAATGCACTTACTAAAAACCTATTGAATGGCTGCAAATTGGGAAAGCAGAAAGATTAGTGTGCCCTGCTCCTGAGCTCCCATCCCCAGAATATCCTTGGTGGGAGCACAGGTTTGCTGCAGTGATGGTTTTCGACCTGGGAATTTGCCCCTTCGGAGATGTAGCAGGTGCAAGTCCTCTGGGGAGTAACCTATTTTGTCCTCTGAACAGAGGGGAGAAGTGTTTCACAAGGACATGTCGTAAAACAATGGGAACGTTTAAAAGTAAAACACCTGATTTAGATTGACCAAAGCAGTCGAATTCGCTAGTTCTTGTTTAGAATAACTTGTTAATAACATTTGAGGACTACATCCCTTCCCCCACACTGAGCAGAAACCCACAAGTTGCCACCTTGCAGAACATACACCAAACTGACAGAAGACAGGAGCCCCCAATTTCACTTTAGATATAAAGTTTAAAACCAGGCAAAACTAAGCTATGGTGATAAAAGTGGATATGGTTCTCATTTTGTGGGGTGGTAGTGTTTAGAATAGGGCATAACAGGTTTCTTGGGGTCCTGGCAGTGCTGTTTGCAATGGCTTTGTGAAAATTTAATGGGCTGCTTTATGTACGCTTTTCCATGTATATGTTGTACTTCAATAAAAATTTTAAAAATAGGGTGCCTTGGGGCGCCTGGGTGGCTCAGTGGGTTAAAGCCTCTGCCTTCGGCTTGGGTCATGATCCCAGGATCTTGGGATCAAGCCCCGCATAGGTCTCTCTGCTCAGCGGTGAGCCTACTTCCTCCTCTCTCTCTCTCTCTGCCTGCCTCTCAGCCTACTTGTGATCTCTGTCTGTCAAATAAATAAATAAAATCTTTAAAAAAAAAATAGGGTGCCTGGGTGGCTCAGTGGGTTAAGCCTCTGCCTTCAGCTCAGGTCATGATCTCAGGGTCCTGGGATTGAGCCCTGCATCGGGCTCTCTGCTCAGCAGGAAGCCTGCTTCCCCCTCTCTCTCTGTGCCTGTCTCTCTGCCTGCTTGTGATCTGTCAAATAAATAAAATCTTTTAAAAAAATAAAAATTAAAAATATTTTACATGTGTTGCACAAAAGACTAGAAGACTTGGGGCGCCTGGGTGGCATAGTCAGTCAAGCGTCCAACTCTTAATTTCAGTTCAGATCATGATCTCAGGGTCATGAGATCAAGCCCTGCATCAGGCTCCACGCTGAGCATGGAGCCTGTTTAAGATTCTCTCTCTCCCTCTGCGCCACACTCTTACCCCTCCCCCTTCCCACCCTCCCCAGCACTGCTGCTCTCTCTTTCTCGGTCTCTCTCTCTCAAGAAAGAAAACAAAACTAGAGGGTTTGATTTTTGCTGGAAACCTTAAGCAGGGGAAAACTTACTTTTATCAGGAGATGCTGCACCAGATGAGTTTTTTCCTACTTCTTCACCAGTGGTTTTAGAATTACAAAAATACAGTTACTGAAAAAAACTGGAAGAACATGAAAAAGAAAGAATAAAATGAAAACCACCCACAGTAGAATTTTCTAAATTAAATACTTTCAGCATTATGTTGTATATCCACACACACAATTTAAACTTTTTTTTTTTAAGATTTTATTTATTTATGAGAGAGAGAGAGAGAGAGAGAGAGAGCACAGGCAGACAGAATGGCAGGCAGAGGCAGAGGGAGAAGCAGGCTCCCTGCAGAGCAAGGAGCCCGATGTGGGACTCGATCCCAGGACGCTGGGATCATGACCTGAGCCGAAGGCAGCTGCTTAACCAACTGAGCCACCCAGGCGTCCCACAGTTTAAACTTTAATGGAAATAATATTTTGTGACTGTTTTTCATTTAATTTACTGAGAACATTTTCCTATGTCATTTTTTCTCTACAGAATTTTCAGTGGCTATCTATAGAATTGCAGCATGAAGAACTACAATAATGTATTTATCAAGATTACTATTTGACAATTAGGTTGTTTCTTTTTTTCTGCTGTTATAAAATTGCAATAGACACTTATTGACAAATCTTTATTCAGATCTACCCCTTATAATCTACTTAGGATAAATTCCTAGAAGTGGTTATGCAGGCTTAAATTCCTCTTTAGGCATTTGATATATTCTGCAAAGTTGCCCTCAAGAAAGATTTATCATCTCTGCTCCCAACAGCAGTGAATGACAGTGCCTGTATCTTTACACACTAGTAAGAATACTGATGTGTTTCTGTGGTCCTGGTATTATGAATTTGAATAGGATGGGAGGTGTGGAAGAGAAGGCAAAAGATTGGGAACATTTCACAGTTTGCATTGAGATGGGGATGATTATGTGTCAGGAGAAAGCAAGACTTCCAGTTTTCTTGAATTCTGTCATTTCACGACTGCATAGAGAATTGCTCAGAATTTTGAACAAATTTATGGAATTGGCTTTAAAAATAAATAAATAAATCGAGCACCCAGAATATGGGGCTTTAGAGTTGGACAGACCTAGATTTGCCTGTAAACACCACTTTCTACCTGTATGACTCTAGGCAAGTAGTTCAGCTTTCCTGAGCCTCAGTTTCTACAGCATTAAAAGCTACCTGCTGGTACATGCCTGACAGGGCTGATGTAGAGGAGGGTAAGGTGCTCAGCATAATGCTTGGGACGCCCTAAGCACCAAATAGACATTAGTTAACTACTTGTTTCTGTTCTTAGTGGGGAGAAATACAACTTAAAAATAGGCACTACTGGGGCACCTGGGTGGCTCAGTGGTTTAAAGCTTCTGCCTTCGGCTCAGGTCATGATCCCAGGGTCCTGGGATCGAGCCCCACATCGGGTTCTCTGCTCCATGGGAAGCCTGCTTCCTCCTCTCTCTGCCTGCCTCTCCGCCTACTTGTAATCTCTCTCAAATAAATAAATAAAATCTTTAAAAAAAAAATAGGCACTACTGCAGTGTTAAAAGCTTGGTTAAGTGCTCTGCTAAGTTTGTGGGGAATTTCCTTTCTCTTTAGGGGGCCAGATTTTCACAATCAATAATCAGCTAATTGCTTCCTCCTGTTTCACTGTAGCTTTGGAAGTTGGGCTCTCCTGTATGTGGAGACCTCTGAGTACATTTTAAGATTTTATTTGTTAGAGAGGGAGAGGAAAAGAGCACAAGCAGGGGGAGTGGCAGGCAGAGAGAGAAGCAGGCTCCTCAGTGAGCAGAAACCCCCGTGTGGGACTCGATCAGAGAACCCTGGGATCATGACCTGAGCCGAAGGCAGACGCCCAACCAGCTGAGCCATGCAGGCGTCCTTCTGAGTTTATTTTAGACTGACTTTCCTGTTGCTAAAGTGGAAACTTCTGCTAGCCCTCATACCGGCTAAGAGAAAAAAAAAACAAAAAAAAAAAAAACCTTTCAGTATTCCGGAAAATGGTTTCTACCCCGAGAGCCAGATGAGAAAAAACAAAACAAACTGATAGAAAATAAAAGCTTGCAGCCAGAACAAGAAGTATTCCTGTTTTGCTCCAGTGGATATAACTGTTCTGTACATCACGGACAGCAGTTTGCTGAAGAGGAAAAGAGGCCATGGCTAGGCACTCCTTGATTCTGAATTGTGATCTCTTTAATTTCAAGCTGAAGACTTGAATTGCTTCTTTATCTCCAGTCCATTCAGACCTCAAGGTCTCCATATGCAGAACTATAACTGAATTAGTACATCATTTTCTGTGCAGTTTGCCTGCTTATCTTCCTCACTATACTGAAGTTCCTGGACTTAGACAAGTATAAGAAAAAGATAAATCCTTGTTTATGTTCTTTTTTACAATTTATTTATTTATTTATTTGACCGAGAGATGGCGAGAGAGGGAACACAAGGAGGGGGAGTGGCAGAGGGAGCTCCCTTGGCAGGGAGCCTGATGCAGGGCTCAATCCCAGGACCCCAGGATCACAACCGAAGCCAAAGGCAGACACCTAATGACCGAGCCACCCAGGTGCCCCTCCTGTGTCTGTTCTGACAAGTATAGCCCAGCTTCACGCTTCAGAAAAGTGTCTAATTAAGGGTTAGGGACCGGAAGAACTTTGATGTGCTCACCCAGGGAGAGTCACTTGAACCTCTTGGAGACTCCGTTTCCCACCAGAGATAATGATACTTCTGCAAATGGTTGCTATGAAAAGTCCATAAAAAGAGAAACCACCCTGTTATGTATAATTCATTATATAAAATTAAGGACTGGTTACTGTCAGACCTTTCTTTAAAAATTTTTTTTTAATTTATTTATTTGACAGCGTGTGCATGAGAGAGCACAAGCAGAGGGAGCAGCGGGAAGAGGGAGAGGGAGAAGCTGGCTCACTGCCAAGCAAGGGAACCTGACTTGACGCAGGGCTCGATCCCAGCACCCTGGGATCACAACCTGAGCCAAAGGCAGACGCTTAACCAACTCAACCACCCAGGCATCCCTGTCAGTCCTTTCTGTGTCTGTCCCTCGTGGTGGTTAAGCTCCCTAAAGGGCAAGAATCATGTCTTGTTCATATTTACATTCTGGGCAGTTAGTACAATTGCAGGAATAGTGAGTACTTGATACATATTTGTCAAAAGGAGGAAAGGAGGGCGCCTGGGTGGCTCAGATGGTTGGCCGTCTGCCTTCGGCTCATGATCCTGGGGTCTTGGGATCCAGTCCCTTATCTGGCTCCCTGCTCATTGGGGAGCCTGCTTCTTCCTCTACCTCTTTCTCTCTCTCTGTCTCTCATGAATAAATCTTAAAAAAAAAAAAAAAAGAGGAAAGGAAGGAAGGCAGTAAGTCTGAACAGGTGCAATGGATTGTGAATCCCTGCCTTCATACCCTTGTACCCTCATAAATAGGACCAAATGGACACAGGCTTTACCAGGTTTAGGTATCCTAGGAAGACTCTGGGCCTCTGCCATTGGACAGTAAGGGGAGCACCCAAGTCAAGAACAAAGATGCCCCTCTGCTGTTCACATCTCTGCATTCATGTTACTTCTTTATTTTATTGAAAAATGATTGATATACAACATTGTGTTAGTTTCAAGTATACACCCTATCAATTTGATACTTAGATACGTTACAAAATGGTCACCATGTAAATCTAGTTAACCATCTGTTGCTCTACAAAGTTTTTATATTATTGACTATATTCCCTATGTTGTACATTACATTCTTATATATGTATTGTATAAATACATTTTAATCCCTTTACCTGAGGCACTTGGGTGGTTCAGTCTGTTGAGTGTCTGGCTCTTACTTTTGGCTCAGGTCACGATCTCGGGATGGTGTTCCATGCTGGGTACAGCGCTCAGGCCAGAGTCTTCTTGGGACTCTCCCTCTCCCTCTGCTCCTCCCCCTGTTTGCATGCTCTCTCTCTAAACAAAAATAAAATCTTTTTTTAAAAGATTTTATTTATTTATTTGACAGAGATCAGAAGTAGGCAGAGAGGAGGGGGGAAGCAGGCTCCCCGCAGAGCAGAGAACCCGCGATGCGGGGCTCGATCCCAGGACCCTGAGACCATGACCCGAGCCGAAGGCAGAGGCTTTAACCCACTGAGCCACCCAGGCGCCCCCAAAAATAAAATCTTAAAAAAAAGACAAGGGGCACCTGGGTGGCTCAGTGGGTTAAAGCCTCTGCCTTCGGCTCGGGTCATGATCCCAGGGTCCTGGGATCGAGCCCCACATCGGGCTCTCTGCTCGGCAGGGAGCCTGCCTCCTCCTCTCTCTCTGCCTGCCTCTCTGCCTACTTGTGATCTCTGTCTGTCAAATAAATCTTCAAAAAAAAAAAAAAAAGACAATCCCCTTTACCTCTTTCACCATCCTTCACCCCCTCTCCTCACATCCTCACATTGCTCCTTTTTTTTTTTTTTAATGTAAGTTCTGTGTCCAATGTCAGACTTGAACTGATGACCCCAAGATCAAGAGCCACATGCTCTACCAACTGAGCCAGCCAGGCACTCCCCACGTTGCTTCTTTTAACATCTATTATTCATAGTCTTAACAAATGAAATACACACAATATCCAAAAAATTTAAGGAATGGTACAAAATATACTCAACAGATGAAAGAGAGTCGACTCCCCATTTGTGCTTCTGCCTATGGGTTCAGATCCCGAAACTGTGACAGAGGAAAGAAATCTGAGCTGGACATCAGGAAATCTATGTGAACTAGACAGTTTCTTCTTCTCACTTATCCCTTTAGCCAATGGGGCACTACCTTTTTTCTCAACCAGATTGAGGAGAGGAGGGGGTAAGGGGAAAATGATCCACATTCATTTCTTCATCCAAACGAATATCTACCAGCTCTGTTAAGCCTGGTTCCTGGTCAACAAAACACAGCCCCCACTCTCTGGGAACTCCTGGTGGGAACAAAGAGTAAAATAGTCTGGAAATAAAAAGCAGTGGGGGAGAGGGGTGCAAAACAAACTCCACAAATACTAACCACATGGTCACTTTTTCACACGTCCGTATTATCTCAAAATGACTGTCACTCCTGTACATAGCTCCTTGTGACACCAAACTGTACACCTACAGTTTTCCATGCGAACAGTTGGTTTAGCCAGAGATGGAAATGGTGGGTGGCCATAGAATATCTTGGACACTTGCCACTTGTTAAATCACTTGGCTCTCAGAGCTAACCCTTCCAGGCATTTTCCCTGTGTTGGGCTTATGTCCCATACCCTCCCACTATAGAAAGGGAAAGAAAGCCCACGTTCTTGAGAGTTCCTGCACCATGAGTATTTTCTAGCTTCGTTAAGAAACATATTCTACGTGTCTACTTCATGCCACAGACTCTAACAGAGGGACACAAAAACGAATGTAAGACTCTGTGTTTCGCAATCTGTATCTGGTGGCAGATGCAAACTTCTAATTTTAGTTCTCCGCTCCTACAGCTGAAAAGCCAGTTTCATATACCTTCATTCATTTATGCCTCAAAACAGCCCTGGGGGATCAGGACATAATGCACTTAAGCACAGTAGGTTACAATTCACAAGGCGCCTGACATTCCTCACCTTTTTTCCTTAAAGATTTTATTTATTTGAGAGGAAGAGAGAG